TTCAGACGATCAACACGGTCACGATATTTCGGGTCGTGACAGTGGTTACTGACTTACTGTATCATTTGTAGCGTGGGACGGACATGAGTATCTATTTAGTGTTTATGATCCGTCTTGCTTCGCCTCGTCCCGTTCATGGCCCATTCTATCTCAATTTCAGTATCTATTTGTATTTCTCCTCTTTTGACTTTTATTCAACTAGTTAGACTTGATCTTTCAACTAGTTAGACTCAATTACCCATTTTATCATCACTATTTTCATTCATAAAGTATTTTTTCCAGTATTTTATCATAAAAAGTTAAATTTTGCGTGTATTTTTTTCAAACCTACGTAATAGTGGGTCGATCAGCCCCGTCCTGTACCCACACGGGTATTACTCGTACTGACTTGCTGTAGCATGGGCCGGAACATGAGTATTGAGATACCCACCCCGCCCCATCCCATTGCCATAAGCCCATAATTAGAGTTCACGACTTGAGCTCAACAAGCCACCTAATCGAGCTGGCTTACGAACTGAACAAAACTTAACTCACACTCGACTCGTTAATAGACGAGTTAAACTTTTTTCTTATTCGAAAGAGTTTTTATCAAGTCGAGTTTTTATCAAGTCGAACATCAAGCCGTTAAGGCCTATGCGGTAAATGACCAAACAGTTCCGCTCGCTCTGCACATGCATAAATCCAAATTACGCAAAACAGCAAGTGAAGGCAAGGTTCTCTGCAGTAACAAGAAAGGAAACTGAACATTCTTCTCTGTCTTATCTGCCTTCAGCTTCAGAACCGAACCCGCTCTCCTCGTACATCTCATTCTCAAATCTTGCCTAAAAACTTCCTCAACAGACCTCTCGGAACAGAATTTACAACAAGAAGAAAAAAAAATCTTCCCCCCAACCCAAACATAGATACACATATATTCTCTGTAAAGGATCAGCATCCATCATTTTACCAAGCAGCAACACTCAACTTGTCCCTGCCCCTTTCGTGCTGCCAAAGATGGTCAATCAGTCATGGAGCTGGCAACACTATAGATCTGAGACAGAATAAGACAACAAAACCTATGGAGATGCATGAGCAGCATTATTGCTCTTGGTTTTCTTCGTCAGCAGTATACACAGGCAGTTTCCATATCTTGGTGTTCTTCTTTGGGTCGTCGGTGAGGCTGAGATCCGTATCAGCTTCTTTGTATGTTCTGATGAATGTTTTTGCACCCATCATTATCAAACGTTCTATCATGAAAAGTTCGTAGTTGTTCTCAATCAGAGGGTCCAGGATCTCGCTGTAGTTAGATGAGTATGCTAGTTTGTATCTGCAAAACACCAAAGACCAAAATCCATCGTCACCTTCACCAATAGCATGTGGAGCAATTTGATTCCAACAAAATCACTACTAGCAAACTCTGAACAGATGATCCTACGAGCTAGGAAATTGCAACTTCATTCACAAATTTAAACATGTGAACCAAAATCCATCTTACGCATCTACTTATGCAATACAGGAAAAGAGTTACGCTGTTACGGTATGCATCAGATGCCTAATCAAAGTGGTTTCCAATGGCTAGGTTCAAACTGGACCGAATTGCCATTTGGGTAGACTCAGACCAGATCAAAATAAGTTCTTCCAGGTTTCAATTTTGTAGATTCTCTCCAAAAGGAAAAAGTGGACCATGCGTACCCTTGAACCAAAGTGACAGAATTGTTCTTAACCATTATCCATTGACCAAACTTATATTTCATAGGCAAAGGACCTTATAGGAGAGAATGATAAAGAATGCTTACTTAAGAGCAAGAGGTGAAAAGAAATTCGGGGTCCTCTCATTTGAAGCAATGAAAAGAGTTCTTCCAGGTGGGACCCACTTCTCAATTCTCCGAAGAATAAATTCAGGGCGTGTATCCCTGTCCAGATGAGGATGCAGTGTTCGAGGAACTCCATACCTATCCTTCCTTGTTTTAATTTTATCCCCACGCCGAACATGAATAGCATCATAATCACCAAGTTGGGCTATGATCTGTAGATATGAATACAATGGGCAATGAGTTTATTACTTGCAGAAAGCAGATCTTGTAAAGCCTGCCTGCAGGAGAGTTCCAGCAAAGAACAAGGCGCAAAACTATCATCATTGTGGTAATTGATTATAGCAAGATATAGCCAATATAACTATTATTAAAAATAGTACATACTAGAGGGCACAACTAAATCAACAACCTGAAACATTCCATATGAATCCCATTGGTATGCTTGATCAATATGATCACGATTTTGCATTGATACTCGTGGAAAGCATTGCACATTTCATGATTACTAAAGATTGGTTCTACATACCTCGTCTGCAACATCTCGCAATCTCTCTGCTGCCATTGAAGGAAGAAATGAGTATGGAAGCAGTATTGCACTTCGGTTGTTTCTGTCCTTGCATTCCATGAACCTAAAGGGTTATTATTGTCCCCCAGGGAAATAGATAAAAGAGTTAAGAATCATAAAATTGGCTATGACAGAAATTTTTACAACAAACAGCGATTATAGAATACGAAAAAATTTATAAGGCTCTTTACTACTTTCTATTCTCCCACTGAATGGAGCAGATAATAGCAGATTAAACAGTATCAGCCAGTCGAAATAGTTCAAGATTTCCCGGCAACACGAAATCACAAGCTCTAAAGTAAGTCAATGAATGAAGACAGCAAACGAAACCTTTTAGGCTATTCAAAAGATTTCACTACACTTTATTCTAAGTGGGAAAACAGAACTATTTTGTATAATGAAGAAGTCAATTAAGGAAGCAAATAGAGCAACATAAACTTTAAGTGTCCCCAGGAGAGCAAAAAATCTTACATCAGTGTCATAATACACACTGTAAAACTAAAAGCCTCTATACACATCTGAGAGCCTCCCCTCCAAACCCCAGACAACTTCAACAACTAACTGACTACAAAGATCATAAGTTTAACAAGAAAAGCAACACAAAGCTGAATAAACCAACATGATGCATACCAGGAAAGGGGACTTGCAGTTCGATTTATGACCAATAGATTGGTATAGCGGCTGTCCTCTTTGAGTTCCAACCGACTAACTTCTTCTACATGGGCAATTCCTCTTGATTCCAACTTCATCGCAGTTGAGACAACATGAAACCACTCTATGGAATTGTCTAAGATAACAGGTACAGTTTCAGACATGAGGTCTATATCGTACAAAGACTCCATACTGCAAGAGTTAGACGTCCACCTTCAAAATAAAAGTAACAAACTTTAGGACATACACAACCAATTCACCCAGTTTTCCACTCTTCCTCTGCTTCTGTACATTTTAATTGATCACAAATGTCAGGCAGAAATAAATATTACCTTTGGACAAATGATTTTTCGGCAAAACTCAAAGGGCTTATCAAATTAGGAAATTTTCACAGCATAAAAGATATAGTTTGTTATTCGGTATTCAGACCCTACAAAAGATAATCCACAAGGTGATACTCAGGAAACACACCTTTCTTCAGAACTCGAATTGTCGGAATGATGAAGGATTCCCTTGTTATTGTGTATGGGATTGATGCACATTCTAGACGGCATGACAAAAGTTCTGCAACAAGGTGAAAGAAGCAATGGTCAGATTGTGATCCTTTTCAAGGAAGTTTAAACACATAAACAGAGAACATATACTTGCAGCACCTACAAACTGCAAGACACTAGATATGTCAACTCCCTGTGTCCTTAAACTGGTGAAAGTTATCAGAATTCACTACTCAGAGTTCCTGTTTAACCCTTTCATCTCATACGCTTCATTTGCATAAAAAAATCCTTTTTTGGGAAACAAAATTCCTTGAATTTCAACGACTTTTTCACTTGCCCTAGTGAACTCAAACCATGAGAAGGCATGATGCAAGAGAATCTCAGCGTAACGGTACCACATCAACCCTCCATAAGTATACCAGCAAGCACAGATCTAACACACTAGCATACTACTCTGACTCTGGTAAGAACACTATCCAAATCAGCACACTAGACATTCATCATCCAAATCAACTCCGGTCTAATTTAGGCAGTTTCATAAAATAAAACATATCCAATTCCCCTAGAATTCTCAACTGTACACGACGCCGGATACTATTAGAACAAGTGAAGCAGCTCGGGGGGAAAAAGAACCAAACTTTTCGCCATTACCTATTGAGAAACAAGGCTTCCTCGAGAGCACACCTGAGGCTGGACTCCTGGTGACCCAGCCCTTCGCAAGATTCGCAATGCTTTCCAGGACAGTCAATTCTATTCCCCCAGTACAAGTACTTGTCATGCAGAGTATGCATCCGCTTGGGTCGACTGGGCCTCAGAAGCCCCTTGATGAGCTTCATGGAGCGGGCGGAGAACCCATTGGTGGAAATCAGGGAAGAGAGGAGGAAAAGAAAGCCAATGGCAGCTACCCAGATCAGCAGATTCGGGATTGAGGATCTGGGTCTGTTCTTCAGCTTCGGAGGTTTATGAGTTGTCGCCATTGGAAAGTCGCTGGACAGAGAGAGAAATGGCGAGGAGGAGAGATCATGTAAGGGGTGGTGAAGGAGTTTTAACTATCTCTTTTCTGCTTTCTTTCTAATCGCAATCACCAATCGGGAAGAAGAAGAAGAAGAAGATGGATTACGAGCGCGGAGAAAGAATCAGATTTCTTTCTTGAAATTTTTTGGCATTCGCTGAGCTGTTTTTCCTCTCTCTCTCCAGTTGAGTTGATATCGCCAGTGAAGAGACGGTTATGGAGCTGAAAGTCAAAGGTATATCTTGTGGGCTTGAGTGGTGCTTTTGGGCCCAATGTTTCCACTGAGGCCTACAACGAGATGCCCTCAAAGTTCAGGCCCGTAATGGACTGGCTCCTAAGCCCAGCCCTAAATTGCAACATAGGCACAAAAGATGAGTGGTAAAATGCAAATTAGCCATGTATTTCCCAAGACATGCACATTTCCCCCAAAAGCAAAGCCCTATTTTATTCAGACCAGCCAAAGCCGACTCGTTCGTAGAGTTACAATTTATACTGAGCCGAGGATCCGATTTGGCAGAGTGGAGAAGAAACCGTTGAGACTGTAGAAGAAAAGGACTGAGCGAGCGAACGAGCTACTCAGTCAACACTCACCGCCATTCCAATGTTCCAGCCCAACCACCACCAGGTAAACTCCCTTCCCCTCCTCAGTCCAGAATTCGGCTTCTTTCCTTCCTTCCTTCCTTCCTTGGCCCGTCAGTTTCTAAGAAAATGGCGAACGAGAGAAGGAAAAACTCAAGGTTTCGGTAAAAGAAGTGAAGAATTCAACCTCTGTGGTTACCTGTTTCGCGCCACCGGGTTTCGGTTTCCGCAGTTTGAGTTTCAGCGGCCACAAGAATGCGTTAGCTAGGGTTTCTCTCTGCATGCGGGTTGTGTTGAGCTAATCGAGCGTTGTAGTTGCCCGTATATCGACTCATGCTGCATCCGATTTCTGTTTTGTGAAATTGGTCATTCTTTGTTTGCAAATGCCGTAGAATTGAAGCTTCTGGGGCTATTAAATGAGCGTCTGATTGAAACCATGGTAATGTGGGTGTAATTTCATCGGGAGTGTTGAAATTAAGCTGTGCATGTGTGCATTAAAACTGAAACGGATTTGTGTTCGATTTTTCTTTTGGTATCTGACAAAGACATGTTTACTTTTCAGGAGCCACAGCCACAGCCACTGGCAGTTATGGATGTGGATCAGAGTGAGATGAGTATAGTTCAATGGGATGGGACACAAAATGGGGGATTTTCACAAGCTCAATCCATGATGCTTAACTCTAAGGTTATCATCTGATCAGAGTTTGATGCAGTTTTTGTGTTTTTATGTGCATGGAGGAGGCATTTGTGTGGGGGTAACTTCCCGAGAAAAGAATCATTTGGAATATCTCCTTGTTTATGTTTGTGCATATCCCTGTTTGACGGTTTTTATATGTAGTTTGAACGAAATGGTTGTATTCTGATGAGATTTACCTAATGCTGTAGAAACTTCAAGATGATCTACAAAACTTGGGGCTGAAAATCAAGCAGCATGAGAACAACTTAAAACTTCTGAAGAATCAAAAGAACAAACTAGATGACTCTATTCTTGATACACAAGGTATGGTATGGCTAGGAATGGGAACCTTTTTTTCCTTCTTGAGTGTTTAAAAACCTTACAAGAATGGCCCAACACAATCAACTGGTTGTTAAGTGTTTCCTTGTATTATTAGGTTTATAATATCGAACATGGGTTTATTGTCTATAAAATTATGGCTGTATTTCCATTATAGTAAGGAATCACTCTAGACATAGATTCCTATTTATGATCGCTTTTCCTTAATATTGACGAACTTGATCTACGTTTTCTAATAGTTTTATGTGGTTTGTGACTTTCAGGTTTGGTTTGTTGTATTTGTAAAATTGTTCACGTGGTGTATTTTTATTTGGATTTTATTCACATCACTTGCGCTCTATTTATTTTGCGTGTCATTATGTGAGGTGTATTAATAAAAGTTTCTTTTGGTTGTACACGAAATTGTACCAGAAATTTTTTTCTTACAGAAAAAAAGACATGTAGGACCTCCTTCTCTACATTGCATTGCTCACATACCTTACACTCTTCATGTCTTTGAGATTGCATTATTTTGGTGCATTTGATCAGTCATAGTTTTCTAATTCTATTCCATCAAAAGTGTCAACCGGAAAATGACATGTGTGTCAACTTTAAACCAATGTGCTGACACTATTGTCTCGACTGCATCTCAAACCGCTTATATCTGGAAAAGGATTTTTTTTTTTTTTGGTGCTGTCGCTGAGGACCTGGAATCAATAAGATACATTTTTATTTATTTGTGCAAGGCATTCACGCTGTTTCCTTTTTGCTCCCTCATTTCCTTGAACTTCTCTCAGTCACTCTTAGCAAGTATCATTCTTCTGCTGCAACGGGAACTGAAAATGAAGAGCGTACCTCCCAGAGTGAAGAGGAAACAATTAAACAAATTCTACAGTATGGGCCTTCTGCTGCAAGCATTTGGTGCCAGTTGAGAGCAAATCACACATCATATGCCTCATATCCTACATTGACCAAAGATGTGATTGGAATTGTCGCTACACTTGGTCGAGTAGATGATGATAATCTTAGCAGGTCTGTATGTGCGACTTTGCATGGCACATATTAGCTTAATGTTTGATTATAAATGAAAAATCTTTATGATGCGGATATTAGTAAGCATCACCTCTTTGGTTTTAGGGGGTTTGCCATCTTTAGATAACCTAGAAGATTGGTGACCTTTAAATTTTTTCTAATGTTCAGTGTTTTCTTTATGTGGATGCAGGATGCTGTCTCAGTATCTAGGAGTAGAGACTATGTTAGCAATTGTATGCAAGTCCTATGAAGGTGTGAAAGCTCTGGAGACATATGACAGGGAAGGCCACATTAATAAGGAGTCTGGTATTCATGGTGTGGGTGCTTCGTTTGGGACAGCTTTGAATGGTTCATTTTCCGTCATTTGTCTTGAAGATTTGAGGCAGGAATCCAAATTTAACCCTTTGGCCGTCAGGAATCTTTTTGTCGAGGTTATAAGTGATCATTGTTTTGTTTTACAGGCCTTACTGTGGTGAATTTGTTCTTGATGACCCCCAAAGGAGGTTGGACCTTCTGAAGCCAAAGTTGTCAACTGGGGAGAGTCCTCCTGGATTTCTTGGGTTTGCTGTGAATATGATAAACGTGGAATACATGAACTTGTTTTTCCTCACATCTAGTGGACATGGCCTCAGGGAGACTCTGTTATATAATATCTTCTCTCGGTTGCAAGTTTATAAAACAAGGGAAGATATGTTACTTGCTCGTCCTTGTATAAGTGATGGAGCCATTTCCCTGGATGGAGGGATGATCAGGCATCCAGGTATCTTTTCCCTAGGCAGCTGGTAAGTAGCTGGGTCACGCCATTTATTTGCGTTCTATTAAACTGGCTATTTGTTAAGGTGAGTGGATTTAGTAATATGATTTACTTTGATGTGACTAATGCCTCTGATTCCTCTGTATCCTTGATATATCAGTGGTGAATCTGACTCTGAGGTTGATTGTCTACTGTCTTGCAGTGTTTTCTCTTGCTTCATCGTTTTCTAGTATGTATACTTAACTGTGTTGCTTAGTAGCTCTGCGTTGTAGTAACTTCTGTTTGCTGAGTCTAAATTTTAAAACTTAACTGTAACCTGTAGCTCATTTGTTCACTAATCATGTAGCTGCTCAGTGTTTATGATACCTTTATACAGTGATGAGTTTTTTTATTTTCCTTTGTGTCCTGATACTTTTTACCTTTTGTCAATTTTCTGCCCCTCGTGCTTGTAATTGCTTATTTTCCTCTATTTTCAGGAAAAATAAAACTTGTACAGATATACCATCTTGCCATTTAAACTTGTTTCTGGCGGCTATAAATCGTGATGTTCAATTTAGCGTTACTTCATATTGAAGTTTTCATTTGATCTTATATCTGATGTTTTAGAGGACACTATATTCAGGAAGGAGATGAATATAAGGTTCCCAAGATCGTCAGCGTCAAGTGCTCCTAGCAAGTATAGTGAAACAGAGAAGCAACTCATGGAGATGCGATGGAAGAAAGAGAAAATGGAAGAGGATATGAAGAGGGAACAAGCTTTACTGGATGCTGCGAGGCACCAGTTCCAAAGGAAGAAGGAAGAGTTTGTCAAATTCCTTGCTGAAAGCTCATCATATGCAGCTCAGGTAACCCCCCCACTTTCATGTTTGGGGTAGAGTAATTCATATTAAGTAGGAGAGAGAAAACTGTCATTTGAAGGATTACTGGTAAAATGCCTACATATATCTAATAAACATGCTAGGTAATTTATCACCGTAATTATTTCTGTTCCTACAACTCGGTGAAACCTCCTTCATGTGATTTTGAGTGGAAAGTCATGAAAGGTCTAGGTCCAATGTTCGAAAAGCAACCACTCATCAAATAGTAAACATAGTTTTAAGGGTAAGTGATGTGCCTTGGGTTTATTATGCAAAAGAGAACATGGGGAGGATAGTGTTCTGCACTTCACTTGTTTCTTGAATGCATGAGTGGACTCATACAGTTTCAATTCTGCAGCAACCGCATATGCATCCAATGCAGCAGCAGCAACCGCATATGCATCCAATGCAGCAGCAGCAACAGCAACAGCCCATGCATCCGATGCAGCAGAATCACTTCATGAACAGATGATCTCCTTGGATGGAAGAAATCCTAATCACAGGAGGACAACCGTGGCGAATGTTTTTGTCTTCTGTATGCACAGAATTCACCGTCCAAGCCGTGCTGCTTCCAACTTTACTCCTTGTGCCGAGAAATGTGCTGCGAATTCTCCTCAGAAGAGTTAGTCGGCATCGTTTCTCAAGAACTAGGAAAAGTCGTGCGGAAATCTCTCGTGTTATGGTGTCGAGACAAAGCAAAAGCTTGCTTCCCAGGGTATTCAAATGGGTATCCCTGTCCCAGCCAGGGCGTTATGATGTTGGTCTTCCTCTAGACTCTAGTTGTATGCCCTTTGGCTCTTGCTTTATATGTTTTTCGATCAGTACCATCGATTTGGATGTGGCTTTTGCTGTTGGTGGTATGAAATGCTCCTTTGTTTAGGAAATTAGTGTTCGATAGTAGAGTGCCAGTTTGATGAGTGAAAGTGTTTAACCATTGCGACATAACTAAACAACCAACCTGAAGTCTTGCTAAATCCGAACTCTTCTAAAACAAACATGTATCATATCCTTATTTGGAAAAAAAAATTCGAACTTTTTTATGTCCAGCGGAAAAAGGGTAAATGACACATTTGGTCACTGAGATTATTAAATTGTGTCATGTTTAGTCACTAGAAAAAATTAATATCAATTTTGGTCACTCGAATTACCGAAACTGGTCAAATTTAGTCACTCTCCCGTCAGTTTCCGTCCAACTCCATTAATGTAGTTGGACGGAAACTTTTAGGAGAGTGACTAAATGTGACATGTTTCAGTAATCCGAGTGACTAAATGTGACATTTTTCAATAATTCGAGTGACCGGAGTTGGACAGAGGCTACAGAAGAGTGACCAAATGTGACCTGTTTCAGTAATTCGAGTGACCAAAATTGATATTAAATTTTTCTAGTGACTAAATATGACACGATTTAGTAAACTCAGTGACCAAATGTGTCATTTACCCGTGCGGAAAAATAGTGAAATGTGTATTTGTGAGGTCGGCGATTCGAATCCCACAACCCCTTTTTTTCTCGATATTGTTTTACAGCCCGACCCCCTGCAGCTAGGGATGGCAATCAAACCCATGGCCGCGGGTACCCGACCGCCCCCGACCCAGTCAACGCGGGTAATCCCCGCTTTGACCGGGTATGGGGCGGGTATGGGTAAAACCCGCAAAAAGTTTGATGGGTATGGGGCGGGTATGGTTTTAGCCTCCCCCGCCCCATACCCATACCCATATCCGCCCCACCAAGAGAATTTCTTCACATATACAAAAACATGTGGATCAAATTGTAATCTATCAATGGTGATGAGGATAACTCAAGGAAATAAATAGTAGAAATGCAATTGAGTGACCACTGTAATCAAAACCTAATTCATTTCCCTCAATTCTCCTTTCACTTTTTCACTTTCCCCCTTGTCAACAAGATTATGCTAGTTAATTATTACTTAGTAGATGTATAAGAGTTAGAACATAATAATTTGAAAAATATTATACTCTATATTATGTATTAATGAATGTTTTAGGATCATATTCTTTGAACCATATTAAGAAAATGATCGTGTTTTGTTTAATTCGTGATATAATAGGTACGTTTAGAATTTTAGTTAAAACTTTTCTTGTGAATTTTTGGATAATAGTGTTGGATGTACGGGTACGGGTATTACCCATGAGTACCCGAAACCCACGGGTATAGGGATGGGTTTGCCGAACATTTCCCGCATGGGTATGGGGCGGGTATGGATTTGGATAGTTGAAGATGGGGATGGGGATGGAGATGGGGATGGTTTAGATAAACTCGCCCCAAACCCGCCCCTTTGCCATCCCTACCTGCAGCCCAACGTCCGTTCACACGCGCATCCTCCATTCGAGAATCGAGAAACCCTACTCGATCTGCTTCCTTTCTCTTCTCCGCAGACTTCCACCCAAAGGCCAAAACCCAGCTTCAAGCTTGAAACTCCATCTACTCCTTTCCCTCAATAATTCTGGAGACTTCCTTTCTCTTTACCAACAGCCGCCGCTGAATCCCTCTCCGTCCCTGAATCCATCTCTGCCTGAGAATCCCCTTCGACATCTCAGCTCTGGTGAGTGACCTCTTCTCTCGATCTTCTTATCTCGATCTTCCGCTGCCAGAGCGTTTTCCTCCCCTAGAGCTAGTTAAAGGAGTGAGGTTTTCTCTCTTAGTTGCCCCTTTCATTGGGGATTGTTGTGATTAAACGGGCAGTTTTTCGCCGTGTGGTACGGGGACTGTGTTTCATCCTCACAAAGTGGCTTCCTTGATGTGCAAATTATCTGTTGGAATTGAACTGCGGCAGTACTTTATGTTTATGCACATATGAGTCGTCAATCAGGATGCATAATTGCAGTGCGTTTGAAAGAGTATTTTTAGCTGTTCGACTTAAGGAGAAGGGGAAATTTTCTGCGTCAATCCGTTGAAACTTGAAAAAGGTTTTGCCCTGGTTGCCCCCCACCTAGTGTCACAAAAACTTGCATGCAGCCCTTTATGATTGCCAAATATGAGATGCTAAATCTCTGGGGCTGTAATTTATGTGGACCTAGTTGGATTAATTGTGATTCATAGTCTGGGGTTTGGTGTTCTTGAGTTATCCCCAGTTCCTGCCTGTTTGTTTCTTGGGCAAAACCAGAGTTTCTCCATGGCAAACACTGTAGAAATTTTTAGTGTTGAACTTTGAGCAGCTTATGCTGCCAGAGTAGAGCCTAGAAGACGAAGGGTTTGATTCCCCCTAAATGTACTTATTCACTTTAAGAATCGTAACTCACCAATGGCTCGGTCACTAGAATTGTTTGGTCACCAGCCTCCATGATCTCTTGTTCTGCCGGTGTGTTAAGGATATTCAGCCTTACTTCCTTCCATATTTTAAGTCTTAATTAAAGGACATACAGTTCTCTGAAGTTGCATCTGATGGGCAATTTAAACTTGTTGCGTTGGAAAATCGATGGCCATGGTTGAGCTGACTGATTGTTAGTCTAAACTGTGGCCTGAGGCGGCTTTTGCAACCTATGAATTCTGAATCACTTTAGCAAGTTATCTTGTAACATGTGTTACTTGTCCATTTATATCTACCTCTAGATTGAATTGTTAATTCCAGGTTATATAACTTCTGTTCGGAGTTCTTTTGTCATGTCACTATAAACCTTGTCAAAACAATAACAAATCTTGTGTGTTGTTGAGTGTAGAGCAAAAGGTGAAGATGGCTGGTAGAGTAGCAAAGAATGTAGCAAAGGCAGTGGCAGAATACCAGTACCCATGGAAGGAGAAGTTGGCAAAACACAAAGCCGAGCTATCCAAGGGCGTGTGGGGCTACTGGAACTTAGGTGCATGGACCCCGCTCCAGATCAGTGCCCGTCGACGTGCTAAACTACGGAGGGAAGTTCTTCTTGCTGGGCAAGATTGGCCGTATGATCCCGAGAGAAAAGAAATGAGAACCAAAATGAAAGGACACAAATGCGACAGAATAGCTGCTGAGAAACGTGCAAACACTGCTAAGCTGATGGAGAAAATGCCAGACATGTTGCTAGCCTACAAGAAGAGAAGATGGGAGAAGAAAATGAAGGAAGAAGACAAGAACAAGTAGAGGAATTGTTTTCCCGGTTGTAGCTGCCCTCCATGAATGGCTATCGTTGAAAAAGTAGAGCTTTTGTAGACTTTGATGCAACTGTTCTTGCTCTGTTCTTGATTGCAACAAGTTTCCTTGAGCTTTTTTGTTATAGTTCATGGCTTCTCGGGTGAACCGGGTACTGATAAGAATCGATTCAATAAGTGAGAATGTAGCTTGTTGTTCTAATGCTACACTTGTTCTTATCCACAAGACTGATAAAGAGATTAGTCTGCAGGTCTAATGGAGTACGTTTCAGGATGGATTTAGCTCAACAAATGAAGGGAAAAGTTCAAAAACAAAGATATGATGTGTACAAACCCAATGAAAGCTGGAATATGGCAAAAAAAAGGTTCCACCGAGATTTGAACTCGGGTTACTGGATTCAGAGTCCAATGTCCTGACCACTAGACCATGGAACCTTTGTTGGAACTGTGTTGGATTCTAGTAGTTTAGGGGTCGTTTGGAAGTTGCGATTGTTTTGTTGAGATTGTCATTATGCATGTATTGTTTACAATGCATCGTTTTTTTGTTTTTTTAGAAGAAACAATACATGGATTGTTTCTGTGATGTGACAGAAACTATCACTCATTTTGAGTGATTGTTATATCTCAACTTTTAGTTGTGATTGTTATATCTCAACTTTTAGTTGTGATTGTTGAGATAGTTGAGTTGAGATTGTTTTGTCTCAGCTTTTAGCTAATGCGACATACACAATCACACATACCAAACGTTGTATTCTACAATGCATCAAATTCGACAATACATGTATAATATTATACATGCATTCTTAACAATACATCTATTTAACAATCGCAACTTCCAAACGAGTTATTTACATATATAAGTTAATCCAAAGGATCAAGCAGGAAAATAAATAAAGATGAAATTAAGCTCCCATCATACCGCAAGTGCAATTCCTGTCCCGAGCCTATTTTCGTTTGCATCACATCAGTTTATCTTTTGAAATAGTATGCCACTACGTATTCTTCTAAATAAAAATGAACTTCCCAGTACCAAGCACATAACTGTAAAAGAGCTTCTTAACTGCAGTCTCAAACTACTTTTCCTCAAGACTTCTTCCTGAAAACATGAATTGTTGGACAACTAAGACTTTGACCAGGAAAAATATACTCGGAATCTAGATCCATAAAATATATGACCTCATTTTTTGTTGAACTAGTAGTCAAAGCATCCAGCTAGCATGAAGGACACGACTTTCATGCAATGCAATTAGAGACAAGAAAATGATGTTAAGACGAAATTATATGACTTATTACTTCAATCTTAGTGCAGCCAGTCCCACCCATCCTTAAAGGAGGAAGTGATCACGACATGTGATTGACCAAACCAAAGCCATATTTCTCATTTTTTAATTTTTAGTGGTTCGTTAAATAGCAAAAGAGAGAAGTCCTGTGAAGTTCACAACAATTTACAACAAAGGTCTAATGAAACAAGACTCAAAACCTAAAGCCCTCACATAACTACTCGAAAAACTCAATAGGACTCAGGCAATGAGCCCAACCCTAGTTCAGACACTCAAACCCTAGCTCCACCTTGCTCGCTCTTGGAGACACCACCGCCACCGACAACAACATGTTGTTCCCAAAGACTAGCAAAATCTTAAATAGCAAATTTTTTGGGTTATCTCAATGGGTTCAGAAACTGCACGTTTCTCTGGATCATCATAACGTACTTCCACGTATCCACTCAGAGGAAGGTCCTTTCGTAATGGACGACCCTCGAAACCATAACCTGTTGATATACTGCGTAGATCCGGATGATTGATGGAAGAAACACCAAATATATCCCAAATTTCTCGCTCCCACCGATCGAATCCCTCCTCCCTCCAAGAGAATCCAAGATATGATGGTCCAAACTTTACCAAGAAGGAGAACTACAACCAACCAAGCAACCAACCCAAACGGAGGGCAGCAGAAGCATCGAGAAACACCTCCGACCATTTCTCGTTGGACCAGATTTCATCAGCGAGGGATACATCAGAGCGAAAGGGCGGTCGGTGACGTAACCAAGAAGGACAAACTTTTGACTTCAATTTTTTTTTTCCGATAGACTCCAAGTTAAGGCCCAAACACCTCCAAAACATGTAGGGTGAAACAAGGAGATAGATAAAGAGAACCGTCTCTAACACGTCGGAGGACACATTATTCCTTAACCATATCAAAGGAAATACGGTGGCGCATTGTTCCTTCACCACATTAAACGGCAACGGCCGATCTAAAAGTCTTTCAACCAACCAAAGAATATATAAAGAGACAAAAATGGGATTTGTTCTTTCTTAGATAAATGTTTCCTCTCGATACTTCGTGTTCGCTGTTGATTGTCCCTGATTAGAGCACGCAGCGGCATTTCCTCTGAAGCAACAAGAAGATATTTTTCTTTATATCTCGGTATATAGCTCCCTTCGGTTGGTACCTCTTCTCTGCTTCTCCAACCTTTATTTTTAATCCCACCTTTCCCTCACTGAATTACTCCATCCATACATGTTTTTCGCTAAATCCAAGACTTACCCGTTTCAATTCGCTCCAGATAACGTCAAACCCACCTCCTTGATTCCTCTATGAATCATCGGTGGTTCCCTATTTGCTCGGCTTGGTACTGATTCCTTTTGCCCCACCGTTACGAAAACTTCCCTTTATCCACTTCTCCGCGACCATGGCTGCTGCAGCTCTTAGATCGAAGCCCGGCAAAGCGACGGCCTCCTTTGCTATCTCACAGTTCAGGTACTGCCTGCTCAGCTACCCGCACCCCGGGGGTCGCATGTCCAACTCGTATTCGACTAGTCGTTCCAAATGGAGTGATTACTACACAACAACTCCCTATCACTTCACTTCCTTCAAGCCAGTCTCCCTCCGTGGCGAATTGGTTGATAAGGGTTGTCGGGCGTTTGCGATCGGGGGACGCGGCGTCAAAGAATTGATAAGTGGGAACGATACTGTTCTGGCTTGCTCTTCTGGTAATAGCAATGGGTCTAACTATGGGGAGCCGCCGGAGGCCTGGCAGCCTCCTGGCGATGGAATTGCGAGGGTTAGCGAGTCGAGTTTGAATGGTGTCCGCGGAGGCAAAGGAGGAGGAGGGCCTGGTTCTGGGTCCAAAGATGGGTCCTGGGGTGGATCCAATTTGGGGAACAATTTCCCAACTCCGAAGGAAATCTGTAAAGGTTTGGATAAGTTCGTGATTGGTCAAGAAAGGGCAAAGAAGGTGACCCTCGTTTTCCTGCTCAGTTTGTTCCTTTTTTGTTAGAAGCTTGTTGCTGAAGCATTTTGAAGTTGTTTGGCTTGTGCATGAATGTGCAATTGAGTGCTTTGGTTCTTGAATTGGTGACTGAATATACGACTTTGCCTAAGCTCAAGCTACATATCCTCGTCATCTGACCTTTTGTGTATCTTCATACTGCTCTAAATCTGTTCCCTAATTGCCCAACTACTTATCTGTGTTGTCTATCTAGTTCATCATTATCTTCATTCCTTTTCTACAGCCTACTGTTTTGTGATTGTTGCTCGGTACCAGGTCATGCTCATTTTGCTAATGTTACCTTAATATCATCTTGAATGCAGGTGCTTTCTGTAGCAGTGTACAATCACTATAAGAGGGTCCATCACGAGACCATTCAAAGGTGTTACTTGTATCTTGAATATATATCAAGCAACTTTCTTTTTTCTTCCTTGACTATCACATAATATAATTGGGGGAGGGTGGGCTTTTGAAGGGGAGTGGTTTGGGTGAGTTGGATGGGAGATGGGAGAGGATATGGGGACACTGTGGGTATAACAGGCCAGTGGTTGTTCAAATTTAGCATGTCTCTTCTTTTGACCGGTTCCAGAAACTGCCTGTGTCTTGTGATATATGATATATCGTCACAATGCTTCAAAATGTTTTCCTCCCTGTATTAGTCCTTTCATGGATTTTGTTTGATCTGGTGCCAGTTGAGGTTTGAAAATGAAACATAGAGGGCAAAGGATTATGGTTTACTATTGTGTTGCATCTTGCTTTTGATTGTGGTTATGGAGTTTTCAACTTGTAACACATACATGGGAAGTTAGGTCTGCAGGAGATTCAGGTAACAAGCTTGATGCTATGGATGATGATGGAGTGGAGCTTGAGAAAAGTAATATTCTTTTGATGGGACCAACTGGCTCAGGTAATTGTCAGGATCCCTTTGTTCTATCCTGCTTGCAAAGTTGAAATGGCCACATCAGTAGCTCATTGGATATAACTGTCACTATGAGTTGGATGCCTGTACCTCTTGTTGGAGTGCCAATAGTTCCGCAACCGTGATTCCTTACACTATATTGTCATGCCCTATACTTCAAACACCACTGCAGTGGCATGTGGATATTCGTCCCATCAAAATCAACCTTTTCTATATTTCCCTACTTGTCAATTACTTATGTCATTAGCTGTCTATTTGATTGAATGAGTTCAGGACCTTTGCATTGTGAACCCTATGAATCAGTTACTGGTCTCACTTGTCTACTGTATTTTTATGCCATTTCAAGGACAGGGAAAACCCTACTTGCGAAAACAATGGCACGGTTTGTCAATGTTCCTTTTGTTATAGCAGACGCCACTACCTTGACGCAGGTAACTCAGTCATAAATTGTTTCATTCTAATCATCTGCTCCTCCACCCTCACTTCTGCTTTTTTTAACATTTAAGTTATTGCTGCATAAAGTGCCAAGTCATTAAATCCTAGAGCATTCTTGTTTTGGAACTGATTTTATATTTTTCAATATTCTCTGTGCAGGCTGGTTATGTTGGAGAAGACGTGGAGTCTATATTGTATAAGCTACTTGTGGTAATCTTTCTCTATCTGGTTTGTTCTTTTATAAGTAATAATCTAATCAGAAAGAATCATAATCTTTGGGGCTGTGGAGCATGCTATTTGATTTCAAATTCTCTCTTTCTAAGTATCTCTTTCACCTTAATTTGTCTATCTCTCCATCATATATCAGGTTGCCGACTATAATGTAGCAGCTGCACAGCAGGGCATAGTTTACATAGATGAAGTTGACAAAATCACCAAAAAGGTTCTTGAACCATATCCAAATGAGACTGAATCTTTCATTAACTGCTTTCAGTACAATTATAAACATTATCTATTACTCTACTGATTATTCATTCATGTCAATGTGGCAGGCAGAGAGTGCTAACCTTAGTAGAGATGTGTCAGGAGAGGGTGTTCAGCAGGCATTGCTTAAGATGCTTGAAGGAACTGTAAGTGCTTCTGGGCTGAAGTAGCTAGGGATATTTGGTCTGTCTGATAAAAATTATGCATTACTGTATCACATAAGAGAACAGAATTGCATTATTTAGTACGGTCATTTAGTTGACCTGTAATGCAAAAGCAACTAATTTAAGTGTTCACCAAGCACATAGTTACAATGTTGTTCTTCCTTATCCAGATTGTCAATGTTCCAGAGAAGGGGGCTAGGAAGCATCCCAGGGGTGATAATATTCAGGTACTGTGGCTGCAAAATGAACATGGATGATGCTTTTTGTTGGCAGTATTGTACTCTTCTGGTACTTTTGTGTATGAGACGGATTCGTCATATATTGCTCTTTAATTCTTGTCTCTTCTGTGTTTTCCCATAGATTGACACCAAGGATATTCTCTTCATATGTGGAGGCGCATTTATTGACTTGGAGAAAACCATTTCAGAGAGGTAACATGGAAATGCAGGCTTCAGTCCTTTTAGCTTTCCTTTATTTTCATCTGAAAATGGATGTTCATGGTATATACTGTGTCTCAATATACAGGCGACAAGATTCATCTATAGGGTTTGGTGCCCCTGTACGTGCTAATATGAGAACCGGCACGGTTACAAGTGCTGCTGTCACATCTTCTTTATTGGAAACTGTAAGTGCAGTCTTCACCTAAACTAAGCAACTGTTATGTGCTTTATTACTAGTTTGGTGGTTGGTTTTGTTTTGTCTCATATTCCTGGGATTAAATATGCCATGTGATGTGTTTTTGGCAGGTTGAAAGTGGTGATCTTATTTCATATGGCTTGATTCCTGAGTTTGTTGGAAGATTTCCCGTCCTTGTCAGCTTGTCAGCTCTCACAGAAGATCAACTTGTGCAGGTAAACTTGTAGTTTTGGTGAATAACAAGCTTAATAACGTAAGCTAAATATGTTTAGATGTTGCTTCTTATTTCTAACTTTAATTGAATGGAAAATAAAAGAATTTCACCAATCTTACGCTCTATTTGTTGCTTCTGAATTCATCAATGGCTTTTTCAGGTTCTGACGGAACCCAAGAATGCCCTTGGAAAGCAATACAAAAAGATGTTTGAAATGAATGGTGTAAGTACATTTGATGTTAGCATGCAGTTAATTGATGTTTTCAGTGACTTAAATCTTTAGGGTTGTCTATCAAATTTATGGCTCATTCTGTTTTCCCAGGTTAAGCTACACTTCACAGAAAAAGCTACGAGATTAATTGCCAGGAAAGCTATAACCAAAAATACCGGGGCTCGTGGCTTGCGATCCATACTAGAAAATATCTTGATGGATTCCATGTACGAGGTATGTTGCTGCTTGCTTGCTATTGGGTGGTTACTAATTCTACTCTCCATATCTGTGGTTCATCAGACGTCAATGTGGTGGGCTAAAAGTTAATACTATCACAAAGTTTATAATTTCCGATGATAAAATATCAAGCTGCAATAGTTGAATCTTCTTTGAAAAATAGAGGAAAGAACTGCAATGGTTGAAGATTCTCAATTCAGTTTGTGTGCCTCCTGTGTCACATAGTTACTTGTGATACATGCATCAAACTCCATTTTTGAACTGTTATAATGATCTGCTTGTGGATCGTGCTTCATGTTTTGGCCTTCCATTGCCTGGTCAGTTCTTCAAAGCCCAACAACTGATTGAAAGTTTTGTACTTTACAAATATCTGCATAGATTCCTGATGAGAGAACAGAGGAGGATATGATAGATGCTGTTATGGTGGACGAGGAAGCCGTTGGATTGGAGGGACACGGTCTTGGAGCCAAAATCCTTTACGGGAAGGGTGCCTTGGACCGTTATCTTGCTAATTCACGACAACCCGAGGTACGTATCTACACTGCATAGTTGAATTTAGTGCAGTATTTGATTAGAATCTTCATGTTGATGGAGCCTAACAGATAGTTGATAAAATGTTTTTGCAGACAAGGGTTGAAGTGACTGATGCAGATGCTGATGCCGAACCAGAGCTTCCTTCGGTAGTCGCTAGCATGTAATCGATATTTGTTCGGAAAGAGAACAAAATTCTGTTATATATGTGTAGCCTTTGATCACATTGTACATAATTTATCAGTCCGCAACCTTGTTTTACTTAAATAATCGCGATCATTAAGGTTAATGCTACATACCATAATCTGTAAATGTACATGTTGTGACCCTTTCTAGTTTGCTGTTTCATGCACTTACTCATTGTTCTGTACTGTTGACATACTTCCGGCTAGACTCCGTAGCAAATGCCAGCCGATCTTTAAGCATTACAGAAGAATAGGGAAACCAGATATGTACTGGATTGATTAGTAACCAATTTTGCTCATATGGCAAGAGTTGAGTTATTTTGCTCACAAGCTGTTAGGAAAAGTCCTTTCAATGGTACAAACAAATTTAATGCGTGACAGTAATAAATTTTTTATGGTACAAATTCAAATTGCACATATACCATTTTGTATAAGTTAAATTACTTTGTACACAATGAACTTGTACCGTCAACATTATATTTCAAATTTAACTTGTACTTGAAAGCATGTATTCTTATAAAGCTATTGGTAGAGGCAGGCAACTTGGCGGTTGATTTCCGATTTGATATTGATCCATCCGTAGATAACACAAGATGAGTGATTAATGTAGGTGAACCGTGGGTCTTTAAATCTCCTATATGCACTTATCAGAATGGGCGGTGGGTGGATTGTGAACCGAAATGGCATGCAACTAACTTTTACATGACGAATAGATTTTTTCCTGTTCCTAATATCGCATGCCACAGTGAAGTGTTATTTTTCTCTGCCAATGGTTTATGGATTAATGAACGAATTTATAACCACCGTCAAAGAAACGAAATCCACATGCTTGACAGTCAATGTAGTTAGGGATATGTGCTTGTTTCTATGTCAATGGGTACTTTGTTAAACGTGACCAATTGAAAAGTTTGTGAGCAATACAAAACTTTGCATCTCACAAGTACGACCAGAACCACGAGAGCAAAGCGAGAGGAGACGTTGATTGCTTCAATCCTCCTAATCTCACAAGCGAGTCTAATGACTAGTTGAATAATTCCCTTCGCGAGTTGACCTACAATCCATCCGTCGCCATCCACCACCTTATCCAAAAAAAATTATAAATAAATAACGAGTCACAATTGTATAAACTCGTTAATACCTAAGTATCAATTTGATAAAATTTATCCAACCTATCCAATGCCCACGCATAATATCCACCCGGGATAAGATCAGGTGACTAAGGGGGGTCCCTTAGTCACATGACTAAGTCAATCTAAGCCATTGAAGATCATTAAAATCCAATGGTTCAGATTTATCTAGTTTAATGAAGGGTAAGGTGGTAATTACTTAATTTATTTAACAACTAAATTAAAAAAAAAAGCGGCCTCCGCCCTCCCCGCTGCGGCTGCCGTTCCTTGAATTTTCTACCGCCGTGGGTTTTTTGTCCCAGTTGGGATTTTGTGTCCCAAGGTTTTTGTGTCCCAATTCCGAGAGAGAGAGAGAGAGAGAGAGAGAGAGAGAGAGAGAGAGAGAGAGAGAGAGAGAGAGAGAGAGAGAGAGAGAGAGAGAGAGAGAGAGAGAGAGAGAGAGAGAGAGAGAGAGCTTTTCCGGCGACGGCGGAGCATTTTCCGGCGACCAGAGACGGTGGTGGATGATTTTCCGGCAACAGTATTGAGTTCGTGATGTTTGTAATGTTTATATTACTATTTTGTATACATTGTAATGTTTGTAATGTTTGTCATGTTTGTTTGTATAGTTTGTATACTTTATGTTATGATTTATACACTTTCTATTCATTGATTTGTATTTGTAACTTTTGTTATTCAAGTTTGTATACTTTTATGTTATGATTTGTATACTTTGTATTCATTTGTTTGTAATACAAGTTTACCAATCTGTATTGTAAGTAGTGATATTCTGTACGTGTAGTATGCTTTGTACTGTTTGTAATGTTTGTTTGTAATGTTTGTAATGTTTGTTTGCAATGTTTGTAATGTTTGTTATTTTGTAATGTTTGTAATGTTTGTTGGTTTCTTTTGTATTGTTTGTAATGTTTGTTATTTTTGTCCACATGTTTGTCATTTTTGTCAACCATGTTTGTAATATTTTTTGCATCACAAATCAATACATATAAAGTATACAAATTATTAGTACTTACAATACAAAGCGAAACATACTAAGAATACAAGCAAAACATACTAAGAATACAAACTGTCAAAGAAAAACATACTAAGAGTACAAACTGTCAAAGAAAAACATACTAAGAGTACAAACTGTCAAAGAAAAACATACAAACCATACTGACATTTTGTACAAAAATACTAACAATACAAACTAATGTTACAAAACATACAAACTATACAAATCACTGTTCTTCCTTCAGATGACGATACGATGTCTCTCCACGCCGCCGCCGCTGCCGCCGCCGACGTCGCCGTCGACTCTCTCTACAGCCGTTGTTACCTCTCTCTCTCTCCATCACCGCGCCGCTTCTATCTCCTCCATCGTCGTCGAAGCTCTCTCCGCCGCCTCTCTCTCCTCACCACCGTCTCTCTCTCCTCTGTTTTCCGACGAGTAGATCTACTTTCTCTCTCTCCAAGGCTGCCGCCTCTCTCTCCTCCAGCGTAGCGGCGCCGCCATCTCTCTCTCCATCGACATCGTCGCTTTTCTCTTTCTCTCTCTCCTCCATCGGCGTTCGATCTCTTTCCCCCTCCGCCATGGCTTTCTTTCTCTCTCTCTGGACATCGCAGCAAAAACGGACGGGAAGAGGAGGAGACGGTTGCAGAAGGGAATCAGTAATTAATTAATAAAAAGGAAAAACAATTAATGAAATTTTTTAATGCCAGAATTGCCCCTCCCAGTATTTAAAAATCTCTTCCCTAATATTCACCGTTAGATTGATCCTCCTACATCCAATGGCTAGGGGGGGCTCAGCCAAGTGACTAAGCACCCCCTTAGTCACCAGATCCGGACTCATATCCACCCTGCATCACTAGTTACCCAAAGGCCAAAACCCGACCCCCTACGCCGGCGCTGCCCCTTCCCTTCCCTTTCCCGCCGCCGCTTATTTCTTCCTCCCTCCAATTCCGCCTGAGTTTACACTTCACTGAAACGACTGTCGTTTTGAGAGGCTAGGAATTTGCAGAGGAGAATACAGCTGCTGCACGTTTCCTCTTTCATTTCTTACTTCTTCCCACTCCGACGATCCCTCGATCACGGTTCCCTACTCGCTTCTCGGCTAACTCGTTGGAAGTAGATTTCCTTGTCCGTCTGAAGTGGATTCCGGCATCGATTGGACTGAAATTTGCAGAAACGGGGAGCGCGTATACCTGGGAGTCGTTCTCTTCATCGGTCAGTTCCTCGACGGCGGATCGTCTCAGCCACTCCGACAATGCACGGCCGCCCTCGTAAGCCTTTGAAACCAGTAGACGAAGCCGCGGTAGCTGCCAAGGCTGAGAAGCTTCGCGCTCTCCAATCTGAGTTCCTTTCCAATCACCAGAACAAAATGTGAGGAATCAATCTTGTCCTTTCCTTTGCTCGTCTGTTTCTCGCTTCTTCCTCTCCCTCGCAGAAAACTTCCGCGGATTACCACTGATTCTCTTTCGGCGTGTGGAATTGCAGTTACAGTAAGGAAGCTGTAGAGTTGAGCGCCAAGCTGCTGGAGATCAATCCGGAGCTGTACACTGCTTGGAACTACAGGAAGCTTGCTGTTCAGCAGAATCTCGCACAGTGCGAATCGGATCCAGAATCTGTTAATTCGATTCTCGATGAAGAACTTAAAGTGGTGTGTAATTTACTTGAAACCAAGTGTTTGGAAGTGAAATTGACATTGAAATTGAAATCTCCAAGCAATCTATGCTTAGTTTTCTTTTTTGGCTTCATTTTACCTTGTTTAGCGTGATGAGAATAGTGTCTGTAGGTGGAGAATGCATTGAGGCAAAATTTCAAGTCGTATGGAGCTTGGCACCATAGGAAATGGGTACTGGAGAAAGGGCATTCCTCCATGGATAAGGAGTTAGGACTTTTGGACAAGTTCCAAGCCATGGATGCACGGAATTTTCATGCCTGGAATTACCGCAGGTAAATGCTTGGACGGTGGAGATTTTCCAGCTTCTATACCTCTCTTAGTGACACTGGACTCTTTCTTTTGGATGTCTTTATTTAGATTTGTGGCAGCATTGATGAAACGATCAGACGAGGATGAACTAGAGCACACCCAGAATATGATTGACAAAAACCTGAGTAACTATTCTGCATGGCACAATCGCAGGTAAGATGACTGCTTTGGTGCGTGCACGAATTACATCTGTTGAGATTGGTTACTGTCTTGCTGACTACTTATGCAAGTCCAGTAAGTAAAGACATATGCTGGTTAATGCCTAACAACTTGGTGATTCCAGAGACGTTTTCGGTTGAATATTGTTGTTGGCTTTTGTACTGCTAAAAGGTGCTCTAGGTTCTCTGCAATAGAGAGATATTGTGGCCTAAGCATTATCACAGTGCATAAGCCAACAACAATCATAAATGGAAAACAAAGTTCCTCAGACACAAGATAATGAGCTCTTTTTTTTCAAATTCCATCTCGTAACTGCTGTAAAATCACTCAGAAGTCAGAACTATCCACTTCCCAATGTGTTTATACACTCATGAGATGGTTTCTTGTTCAATGATCTCTCGCTTTTCGTATTTTCTGTCTGACTGATATAGGACCTGTGTTATATGTTAACTCATTGTTAATTTAATTTTCTGTCGAGGAATTGCAGTGTGCTTCTGTCAAATTTGATGAAGAAGGCAGCTCCAGGATTTACTAGCAAAGATGAGGTTTTAACAAGGGAGTATGAATTGGTGCGTGAGGCTCTTTTCACTGATGAAGATGACCAAAGTGGCTGGTTCTATCATCTTTGGCTTCTTGATCAAACTGTCAGATCTGAGTTCCCTCTGCTTGTTTCTTCATGGCCGGTCGAAGGTTCTGATATTTCTCTGCCAGCAGCTGATTACCTGGATGGTTGTGCTTCTATGAATGTGTTCCATTACAGTTCCAGAAATTTTCCTCTCGTTCTTTACTTCAACCAATCTGTCAGAGGTGTCAACTCATCTACTGTCAGTGTTTCGTGTGGGTTTAACCTAAACATTGATCTTATTTGGAAACCTCTTTCTTCAACTGACTCTCAAAGTGCAAAAGTTTGGGCTACACATTTAGCCATCCCTGATGCAGAGCTTCATTCTTCAGAAGCTTACCAGGTGGAGGTTAAAGTTGGATTTTCACAGGGAATTGTTTCAACTACTGGTGTAGCATATAGCCATCCTTCTCAGATTTCATTTCAGCTGCACTTACAAAAGACCCCACTTGAATCTGGACAAGACTCAAGGTTTGGGAGAATTCAGTGGAAAGATGATTGTTTTGCTGTTTATGAACCTGGTTCTGCAGAACCTGATTTGGTTAACCTTCTTGACAATCTAACAATCAAGAATGAGGTAGAGTCAACAGCTTCAACCTGGCAAGCGAGAATCATTGATGACGAGACTAATATTTTTCGTGACTTATTGGACTGGTAATAAACTTACATTATACTATGTTGGCCTCATTATTCTCTTTGGGGGGAGCTGAGGTTAACACTGAGAAAATTGATAATGTTTGTTTTTTTTCTTTCTTTTTGTAGCAAAATTGGGAAGCTGACAGTGGCCAGGCTGTTGACTGCTTACAATTCATTGAGACCTTTGGATAAACCAGTCCATTGTAAGGAAGTTTTAGAGCTATACAGTGAGCTAATGAAGTTGGACCCTTCTCACTATCAATATTACAAAGATAACCACAGCTTGGTTTTATTGCAACAGGTTGGTTCTCATTCCTCTTTGACATTTATGTCTGAATGCAAATGAGAAAAAATATGTTCATTAGCTTCTTTTTGTCAAAAGTAATGCTTTGTGAATTTGACAATCTTTGATTGTTACGGAAATCAGAAATTGATCTGCCAACAATTCTGCAGGTGACTTCTAGTAAGGAGTCTTTGCTGAGTCGTTGTTTTCACTATAGGGACTCAACTCTGTCAACCAATGGTAGTCCCTTGTGTTTGCGACTAAACAACTTAGCAATTTCACAATTGGGATCTTTTGAGAAGTTGCTATGGGTTCAAATGTTAGACCTCAGCAACAATGAACTTCAATCGATTGAAGGTAACCTATTTTGTTTCTTTTCATTGAGACTTATCAACAGATTCCTTCTATCTAATTATATCGATCAACCTCTAGTCACTAATCTATTAACTTTCCGACCATCCTCATTGCAATTTTTTTTCTCTTAAGATCTTCTTTTGACCGTCTGTTATTGTTAAGGTGTTTTCTCTCATATGTTTAATCTTACCACAGGATTGGAGGCTCTGCAACTTCTCTCGCAATTGTGTTTGAGTAATAACAAATTCAGGAGTTTTACTGCTTTGGAGTCTTTGAGATATTTGAAATCACTGAAAGTGTTGGATATTTCGCAAAACGAAATAGGTTCTCATTCCATCGACACCACCAGATATCTATTCCGTTCTCCATTGTCCCATTCAGTCGGAAGTTGCGATTGGAATATCAATTATCTCAGTTCAGAAACATACTGGGAAGCTTTTTTCGTTCTCAAAGACATGGGGCTGACTCAGTTGGACGTGGCTGGGAATGCAATCACCAGTAAGAGTTTTAATGTGTTTCTGGAAAAGCTCCTGCCTACTCTCAAGTGGCTGGATGGTGTAGAAGTAAACTAACTTTCATCTTGATCGGAGAGCTTTCCAATCATGCTTCCATCACAAGAATTTGTGTACCCAAGTTATGTTTTGTGACACGCAACTATTTCTATACCCGAGATGTATTTTGATGAAACTCGTGACAGTAAATTTCCATCTTGTCTGATCCTATTATTTCTGAGAAGGGATGGGTAAGTAGGTGAATGCAATTTTCCTTTGTTAAATGAGCTTTCCTTAACCCTGTTATATTGGTTCTACTAACTTGGAATGGATTCATTGATTTGAGAAACAAGTATGCCTTGCAATCACACGCCATGGGAGATCTCAGATGGAAACATGTATGAAGCCTAAATACTGCTGTTGCTGCTTCTCTGTAATTAGCATGCATTTCCTATTTCCAGGTCTTGACATTGCAAGCTGACCCGTATTTCACACAGGTGAGCGAGTTTACTTGCCGAGGCGAATCCTAACTAGATTGATGCTTCGGGATGAGGAGCAAAGCTTCAGAGGCTACAGGTATAAGAACTCCGTAAAGAACTTGGTATGAGGTCATTAAGAAGCTTGACTGACTTCCTGTGGTAATTGAGTCGATGCTGCTCATCGAAAATTTCTTGCACTAGCCTGTGCATTAGGAACATGGAATGATCTAATACATAGGGATACTAGACTTTAATGCTATTCGTTGATTTTCTTACACTTTGATTATATGATATGATGGAACATCTTGCCCTAGTCATTGCTCACTTGATTTGCACAGTTGCACCCCCCTGCCAGGATTCCAGGAGTCAAGTATGAAGGCTTTCTTTCTTTGGGTTGAAAACTGTTACATGATTGACCGACTTTTTTGTTGCTTGGTAGATGACTTTTGTGTTAGAAGCCTCATGTTTCATAATCCGCTCGCGTCTGATAGGACCAGCCAGCACGGTCTAATACGAGCCACCTTCTACGGCTCACGAGAAGGAACAGCTCGTGGCTAGTCATACTAACTCGATTCATTTCTGGGCAGTCGTGCTTAGACCATATATCTCAATCGATGAGCTTCCTTAGGCTAAACTTTCCAGATTGTAATCATAATGCCAGCACCAAAACCTTACAGGGTCTTATAAATATGCCTACATTGGGCATTCATGCTAGTGTGGTGGCGAACACCATATTGGACCATCATCCAATTAACATGGCAGAAATGTGGAAAGGTAACGTAAAGTAGACGGCAACAAAAAAGAAAGAAAACAAGTACATGAGCTTCTGAGAGTTGATCAAAAGAACTTTTTTTGTGTGTGTGTTGGCTTGGAGATCTATTGAAACCAATGAGTTCATGCTTTCGAATGTTGTGAAGGGTTTTTCGGAGTTTCGGGCTGCTCGTGTTGGCCTCCAACTTACGATTCAATGCTAGAACCAGCTCTGTCAAGTTGGTATCGAGCGAGACGCTTAAGTGATCATCCCTTTGTTTCAACAATGATCGGCTCATGGAGCTGTTGTGGTCTCTTTCCGCACGAGCGCTTCCAATTGTGGGCTTCTCTGGGTCCGAGTGCAAAGTTTGGTGTGGTTGCTTGAGCTATGAATTGGGAAGCTCGCGAAGTAATTTAGTACAAATAGTCATTTCTCCGTTGTCGGGATGATAGTTTTTTGTAAATTTATCGACGAAAAATCAACCCTTGACAACAAATTGCGGTTTCTTGGCTTTTTGAATGTCATTGTAATGGGCATTCAGGTCGTTATCTTCCGGAGTTTATGGCTGCTCACAATTGCTCCCCAATTTTTGATTCAATACGAGCTCTGTCAGGTCGTGTATTGAGAAAACGTCCACTTTGTCATCAGTGTGCTCTAGAAAGGATATGATTGATTCATGATGTTGTTTAGAACTTGTCCTTCATTGTCATCCATGGAGTATAGAGTTTAGTTCTAAATTCACCGTGACAACATAATACAGTTCTCTAGCCACTCGTATTTTATTTCTGTCTTCCCTCAAATTTCGCTCCAAAATGATATTTTTATTTTCAAAATTTAAATAGCTCTAGAATTGCTAAATTCGTTAAAATCTGGGCCGGTCATCTCCGAGTCTCTCTCCTGTCTCTCGCTCCTCAAAAAAAGAAAATCTGGGGGAGAGAGAAAGTAGAAGAACCGAAGAGGAAGGCCAATTAATCAATTATCTAAACCGGAAATGCGAAATTAAAATATTTGGAAAAAATGAAAAATGAAAATTAAATAGGCAGGCAGGCGGAGGAGCGGAGGAAGACAACGAAGAAAGGAACCCATCTCTTCTTCTCTTTTTTTTTTCTTCTTTTGCTTTGGGGTGGAAGAGAAGAGGAGAGAGAGAGAGAGAGGCAGAGATAGAGACGAGCGAGAGAGAGAGAGAAAGAAAGCGGAGGCGTTTGGTTTGGTTCCCCGGAATCTAACTGTTTCTCTCTCCTTTTCTCTTCTTCCCCCTGAACCAAAAATTTTCTCGAGAGCGGGGCGCAAAGATTCTCTGAGCGAGTCTGAGGGGGAGGAAGAAAGAGAGAGGAGAAATTATAAACGAAACCCTAATTTCCCCCCCTGAGCTTTCGTTTCCGGATGTGTGCGTGATACAAACCCAGAAATCATTGGGCCGGGAGCGGGTTTTGGGTTTTCTACCCCCTTGGATCTCCGATTTCCGCCGACGATGGCGATGGAGCTGGACAGCATCGAGTGCGTCTCCTCCTCCGATGGGTTGGATGAGGAGGAGATCCCTCACGACAATCTCCACCATCACCACCATCAGTTCTCTTCCGCCAAGCCTCACAATGCGGCCGCCAACAACAACGGCCGCGGCGCGGGTATCATCGGTATTCCCGGTCCCACCGCCATCGCTCCGGCCACCAGCGTCCACGAGTTGCTAGAATGCCCCGTTTGTACCAATTCTATGTACCCACCCATTCACCAGGTTCGTTTTCCCCTCCCACAAATTGCGTCCTCTGATGTTGCCTCCCCGCGGAATTAACTTCTGATTTCATGGAATTTTATGGGTCTATTTTGGATTTGAGGTTAGATTTGCGTTACTGGGTTGAATTGGGGTTCGACGATTCAGTGCTCCGATTGCATGATCTCGATCCAATTTCCAAACTTAGGGAGGTGGTTTGCGCTGTCTGGGAATGTTTGTGTTGAATCCAGACTTTCATTCTGTGTTTGTGTATGGTTAGATTTGGTTTAATTTGGTTGGATATTGTTCATTCATATCATAATGTTGTATGTGGAGATGGGAGGAATTACCTATGGATTTGGTTTCGTCGGTATTTGCATTTGAAGGAATAGAATGGAATGTCTGATCATGTGATCTTAGAGGGAATGGGATGGATATACTCTGTTTTAACTTGTTCCTCCATCAACATTCTTTGTAGCAAGAGAATATTTGGGAGCTAGATAAGGATAAGAGAGAAGTTATTTGTAATTATAATTGACATAATGATTGGTATTGGAGAAATTAATGACAACCTTAGCTGGAGCAAAGTCCAAAGCTTGGGTCCTTCACTCTTCATGTTGGAGGAAAGTCCAAAGCTTTGGTATCTTCTTCAAGAGTAGTTGATAATCTATGTCTTAATCCTTGCATCATTGGTCCTGGAAATTTTCACTTCTCTTCAAGTATAACTCTTCTGGATGCTTGTTTTACACAATACATGATGGTTAACTTCTAATAGTGGTGCAATATGAAGCATAATATGCGAACCATTGCTTAAAGTTTGTTTTTCGGTAACTTGTACATGGAATTTCTCTCTTCTTCAAGTCTATTGTGACGTTGTTTCAATTGCCCAAATAATACTTTTTCTCTTTTTGGTTGTTATCCAAAAATTGACCGTCTCCTAATGCATTTGTCTTTTAAATTCGCTTAATTGCAACATTATTCTTTCTCTTTGCATTATGTTCCCCGTGTGTAGGTATCTCCATTTTGTATTTACCCTATTTGTTTGACAATACACCAAATTGCCAAAGGTGCGACATTTGTTCTGTTATGATTTGGTTTCTGAACTACGTTGCTCACTGCAGTGTAGCAATGGACATACACTCTGCTCGACTTGCAAAACCAGGGTACATAATCGGTGCCCAACTTGTAGACAGGAGCTTGGAGACATTAGGTGTTTAGCACTTGAGAAGGTGGCAGAATCTCTTGAATTGCCCTGCAAGTTTTACAATTTGGGGTGCCCAGAGATATTTCCTTACTACAGCAAACTCAAGCATGAGACAGTTTGCAACTTCAGACCATACAACTGTCCATATGCTGGATCGGAATGCTCCGTTGTTGGTGATATTCCTGCTCTTGTTGCTCATCTACGGGATGATCACAAGGTAGATATGCACACGGGTTGCACATTCAACCATCGCTACGTGAAGGCTAATCCTCGTGAAGTCGAAAACGCCACTTGGATGTTGACGGTAACTGTTAACTGTACTCAAAGGATATTCTTTAATTATATCTGAAGCAAAGAATTGAATCTGTCTCTGAGGCTGAACTTGTTGAAAGTGTGTTTTTGAGAACGGAATATGACATCTACAAGCAACCCTCACTCACCTTCAAATCAACCCTGCAAAAGTTGGAAATACAAGAATGACATTAGTAACGGAATAGCATATTAGCCTGACCCTGCTCAACAAATTGTTTTGATGTCAAATGTACTTCTGGGTCTTGCATGAAGGATTTCTTGATTTAAATGCATAGCTAACAGCCTACTCTGAGAGAGTAAGCTTTCGATTGGACTCTTATATTCTATCTGCAGCTGCAGGCATAGTGTGAATAGCTTAAGAATAATAATGAAACTGACAATTTTAGGATCTGTTTTGTTTGGTCTGATTCTATTCTGATGTTATATATTTGTGCTAACTGCGTTATATTCATTTTGCTTAATACTATGTTAGGTATATTTCAAAATCCATTGTTTGGTTTAATGCATTGCACAGGATATTCTGTAAGTAACCCCAAGCATAAGATTGCGTAATTTTGATTCATATCAAATTGTTGCAGTTCGAAATCTACTCAAATACGTCAAAAAGATCAAATGAAAATGTTATATTTGTTCAATTACACGCTATTGTGCAGTATCAGTTGCTCTAGCAGTTAACAATTACTTATTATCAAGCTTCTCCTTGCCTGTGTTTTCCTCATCTGGGTATGAACTGTTTCCAACTATATAAACATGCTTTCGATTTTGTGGCAACTCATCACAATGCATCTTTACTGCAGGTATTCCATTGCTTTGGTCAGTATTTTTGTCTTCATTTCGAAGCCTTTCAGCTAGGGATGGCTCCGGTCTACATGGCATTCCTGCGTTTCATGGGGGATGAGTCTGAGGCTCGTAACTACAGCTACAGCCTCGAGGTTGGAGCAAATGGGAGGAAGCTCATTTGGGAGGGGACTCCACGAAGCGTAAGAGATAGTCACAAGAAGGTGAGGGATAGCCATGACGGTCTCATTATTCAAAGAAACATGGCTCTCTTCTTCTCCGGAGGGGATAGGAAGGAACTGAAGCTGAGGGTTACCGGCAGGATCTGGAAGGAACAACAGAATCCAGAAGCTGGTGTGTGCATACCAAACCTTTGTAGCTAAAACAAAAAAGAAGAAGAAACAGATGAACTGTAATTTTGGGGATGATTTCAGGTAATTGTGTGTGGGGTTGGTACTCTCTCTTGTGTGTTGTGTTGTTTGGAATTGTCATGTGACTGAAAAGCTGTCAATTTTTCGTTGTCTTCGTAAGTGTTGTATAATGAAAGCAACTCGTCTTCCTTGCTACACTTCAGCTGCCACTAATGATCAAGCCAGTTCCCATCTCTCTTTAGTCTGCTGTTTGTACTTGAAGTTGCCTCCTTTATTGAGACGCTGCCAGTTCATTCCCGAGTTGGCCAATCATTCGGTCGACATTGGATCTTGAATTCGACCTATTGATGTTTGGATGAAACTAGACAATACTGAAGATTGTCCTAGTTTTGATACATCCACTTTACGTACACACTAGGAAGTCGGCTAAATCAATATTGAATCCGCTCAATATAGATTGCTCTGGTTTTTTATTCGATTTCCGTCCTCGTTTTAATCTCTTTTAATTTAGGATTCAAATAAGAGCATGAATCAACTTGATATTCAATCCTTCGCTCCAAATCTGAATCAGATCGCACCGTATCGACCCCTATACTCCCGCGGACAAGAACGGAAAGAGTGAAAGCGATGAAATTTTTTTCTCATTGTAGTAAGCCATCTAACGAGGAAAATGCAACTGAGAGTTGGAGAAGAAGCAGACTTTCCCGCCCATTTCTGATTGGGCCTAGCTCAAACCAGGCCCGGTTTTGTGGAACGACGGCTGAATACCTCCAGACAATTGGCCGATTCATAAGTCGACGCGTGGCTTGTACAACTTCTGCAGTCTGCCGTTCTTCCCGCTACCTGCAAGCTGCTGCAGCTGTACCTTCAGTAACTAGCCAGTAGCCAGAGAGAAAGAGAGAGAGAAAGGGGAAAGCAGGCTTCTTTCTCTTCCTCTTTTGTCAAATTTCTTCTCCACTCTTCACATTACCTTCCTCCTACCAGTACAGCATTGAGAGAGAACCAAAAATGGCGTCCTCAAGAAGTGTAAGGAAGCGGAGGACCGATGCTGCCGAGGCAAAGAGCTTTGAACTCCGTTCCGGGAGAAAGAAGATCGAAAAAACGACGAAAACACCAAACCCGAAGAAGGAAGCGCCAAAAAAGCAAGGTGGAGACGAAGAAGGGCCTCGCAGGAGATCGAGTAGGCTGCAATGCACTCCCAACCCTCCTCCCTCTGCTTCGCTGAGAAAGAAACCCAACATTCAGGTGACCTCTACTGTCAATAAAAAAAGGGCTCCCTTTTTTCTCTATTGTTCTGTGTCCTTCTTAGGTTTAGGGTTTCTAACTTGGTTTGAAACTTGAAAGTCAAGAGATAGATGGAAATGCTTCTGCAGTCTGCACCCCCTTTCCTCCTCTGGTTCGTTCTGTTTCTGGATGGGTTTTAGTCGATCTTGTCTCTGTTGTTCTCTGAGGATGTGAAACCCTTAAAAGTTTGAGAAGCAAGCAGGGTTTTGTTTTTCTTCCAGTGACTTAGTTTGTGTGTAGCCGTCGTCTTGCTCTTGAACAGCCATGTCTGACTTAGGGGAGAAGCTTCCCAAGTGGGGGATTTTGATTTCTACACCTTCCTTGCCTGCTCTCTTCCAAGGATGGGTTCTGTAATGCCTAATCTTTTTTGGTGAAAAGTTCTGCAAAGGCTGTGGAAGGTGTTTGATTAGGGGATTTTTACAATGTTGTTGTTGTTGCTGTTGTTGTTGGGCAGGTGTCCTTCCCAGACATCACTCCCAGATCCTCAAACCGCAAATCAAGTCCCCTCCTCACCCCTGGCGTGCTTGGCTTGGCTTCTTCTGAAAGGATGAAGAAACCTGAAAAGGTTGCTCATCAGCAAGAACCTTACTACGATGCTCCTGCTCAACTGTCACAATCAGATGAGGAAGATTCCAGCAGCCCATCTCCAGGACAGAGATATCGGGATATCATTGACGACATTGCTGCATCCGTATGGACCTCGAATCTCATTACTTTGCCCTCTCTCTTTATCTTACTCCATCTTCATTGAATCAAATAGACTTTTGTATGTTTGTGTCTTTGTGATGGGATTATAACTTTGTATATACCAGGTGCGTCCTCAACTATTTGGAGCTGGAATTGGTGCTATGAGGGATGAAACAGTGGTACCTGGTAGTGGGATCTTTGCTCCAGCTCCAAGTTTACCAGCAGTGTATAGCGAAAAAATGCCAGTTGAAAACGGTATTACTCTGAAGAATTTGCTGCTCGGAGATGGAGAGCCCTCCAACCTGATGGAAGGATCCAAAGTGAACTCCACAAGTGCTTTACATTTACAATCAATGGAGGCAGAAAACTCTCACATTGGAACTGCCCAAGCTGTGGTCAATGCCAAAGGAGTCTCTAGTGCAGCAGAGGATTCTGGTCAATGCCATAGTTTTGGGTTGACTCAGATGGAAGATATGTTCGCTGATGAGGTTGATAGACTTGATGAGGTAGATTGTCCTGCATATGTGACAGTTGGTCGATATAGGGTGAAGGAATCATGTGCTCCTGTTCTGCGAACTATCATCAGAAAATATGGAGATATCGCGGCCAATTACACTCTCAAATCACCAGAAAACCGCGCTCGTGCCTTGGAAACAGTTTGTGAATGTTTCCCTTCATTCCAGACCAAAAAGCTTAATGAGGTTGACCCAACGAATGTTGGTAAAGCACTTGATGTCCTTAATGACTTGAGAGAGGCAGGGTTGGATATTGGCTGGATTTGTGAGAGGTTGGAGCAGATTGTAAAAGCAAAGCAGGTGCTGAAACAGGCTTCTGAGATGAGACAAGCGAAGGATAAATGGAGTGAGCTCTACGGGGAGAAGCAATGGCATTTGAAGGAGATAGAGAGAGACAACGAACTGCTGAAACGAAAGCTGGAGGAGAAGGAAAGTGAGATGGAGGAGGAGGCAAGACAGCTTGAGGAGCAGAGAAGAAAAGTTGATGAGAAGGGAAGAGAGAAAGATGAGCTTGAGAGACAAATGATGGAGGGAGAAGAGAAGTTCAAGTCTGCAAAAGCGGGAGTGCAGGATGCATTTCGCGAGTTCCAGCAGGTGCAGGAGAGGATACGTGATGCCAAGACTACAGTGAGGTCCTTGGCTGCTTGTTATGTCATGGATGGACTTCTATGAGGACTTCGGTCTGGGACGGGGAAGTCAAGAACACTTTCATTTATCTAATTGCTTTCTGCTTACTTAATAGTCATTGACAAGTAGAATGTTAACTCTAGGAGGCAGTGTTAAAAAGTCTGGATATCTGAGGGTTTACAGAAACTGCCATGAGCCCATGAGCGCCAGTGAACGCACCTGCAGACTTCTGATCTCCATCCAATTTACAAACTTGGAGAGGAGATTTGCAGTCTGGGAATGTTTCTTTTGAATCCAGACTTTGATTCTGTATTCTATTCTGTTACGACTTGGCTTAATTTGGTTGGGCATTGTAGAGTGAGTGAAGGTGGCAGGAATTGTTTATGGATTTGGTTTCGTCATCATTTGATCTTGTAGGGAATGGAATGGATATACTCTGTTTTAACTGGTTCCTCCATCCGACTATGGGAATTGATAACTGAGTACGAAATGCATCAGATGATTGCAAAACAGAACTACTTATTGAAGTGCAGATAGAGATGAACAGAAGGCGCAGCCTCTAAACTTAGGCATCCTCCAACATTGGAACCCTTCAAACACATTTGACTCACTGCGCCTAGAACTCAACACTCCCCACTCATTTCCCAGCTATTGTTTAATTACATGCTAACAATAGATCGCAAAATCAGATGAATGACCTTAACATGGCTTGATAAAGGGGTGGCAAATAACAGTACTTCACCATCTTTCAAGCTCTTACCTCATCTTTCGAGTCTTCTGAATCACCAGATACAGTAGCTTTCTCTATGGGTTGGTCTTCACCCGCTGCAGATTCTGCAGCGGCAGGAGCTGCCTCGTTAGCATTAGCATCATTTTCCTCTGCAGATCCTGTCTCCACTTCCTTGTTCTTAGGTGGGAACAGATTAGCAATGGAGATTTTCGCCCTTCTCTTGGTAGCCTCAGCTTCTTCAATCTCTCTCGCCTTAGCTTCAGCCTTTAGCCTGGCTTTTTCTTCCATAAGCTTGTCCAGTTCGTCTCCTCTCCCTTCCTTGTTCAACTCGCCTTTCACTATCTCCTGAAGCTCCTCATTCACGTCGATAGACTCATCATCCAGCATTGCATCGACTAATTGAAGCACTTCGTCCAACCTCCCATGATCACTTAGAGCTTTCATTATGAACTTATAGCTCTCATTGTTCATCCTCAGTTTCTTCACCATCAGCTCGTAAAACGATTTTGCCTCGTCAATCTTCCCAGCTTTAACCAACTGATCAACCAATCTATCATAAACAGGCAAGTCCGGTCTCAGCCCTGAATCGACCATCTTCCTAAAATATGCAGCACCATCATCAATTCTACCCTCGTGAAAGCAAGCATCCATCAATAAGCCAAAGGTGTACTCATCCGGTTTCACCCCCTTTCCATCCATGTCACCATAAACCTCTTCAGCGTCAGCTAACAACCCATTTTTGCACAATTGATCCATCAAGTTATTGAAGGATGCGTTATCGGGGCTGCACCTGTAATCACCCATCTTCCTGAAAACCTCAATGGCATCCTTAAACCTCCCTTGCAAGCAATACCCATCAGCCATGACGTTAAAGCTTCCAAGATTAACAGCCAAACGAGTTGGAGGTTTGTGCTCTCCAAGCATTCGGTCGAACAAGTTCAAAGCCTCATCAAACTTACCATTCTTGCACAAAGCATCGAGCACAGAGTTGTAGGCAATAGCACTCATCTTGACCTTCGAATTCTCACCAACGGCTTCCTCGTAACAATCCATGGCCTCCTTCTCCATTCCTCTCATGAAGTAACCTTTCATCAGCGCTCCATAAACCACACCATCAGTCACAACTCCACCATCAAGCTTCTGCTTCAACTCCTCGTACAGCTTAAAGACTCCATCAGCATCATTGTTCTTCACACAGCCCACCATCAAGTAATGATAAATGAGAGGGTCAGGAGAAAAAGCTTCGTTCACCACCATCTCTTCCTTCAACTCCAGAGCCTTCTCCACCATACCGTTGTTCACTAACCCTTCGATTAAAATCCTGTAAGTCGTGGGAGAAGGAGCCACGGGAGCGTCATTGATCAGCTGCTTGTAAATCTCCATCGCCGTATCCGGTTTCCTGCAGGTCAAATAAGTCTGAAAGACCAGATTGTGGGTGATCACATTGGGAGCGATATTTGCTTGAATGATGAAACGGTGAAGGGAGAGCAAGTCCGCAAATTTGCCCTGGCGGAGCTGAGCGTTGAGCACGGCATTGACGGTGTAGATTGTGGGGCGGCAGTTGGAGTAGACGGAATGGCGGGTGTAAAGCGCCGCCTCGGCGAGGTCATTCTCCCTGATTAGGGTGAGGATGCGGTTGTGGAGATTCAGCCGGTTGCCGGAGAGGGCGGAGACTGGTTCCGGCAGCTTGAACTCGTTAGCACCCTGACTGGGTTTCTTGGGTTGCTGGGATTGCTGCTGCTGGGCGCGGTGGGCGGAGGAGAGCGGGGGTTCGATGCGGAGGCGGCGCTTGCGGCGGCGGCGCTCTGCCTCGGCTTCTTCCGGGCTGGAGAAGGAGAGGAAGCGGATAGTCACGCTGGACGGCGGCGGAAGGGGACGTGGGTGGTGGCGGAAGGGGATGGATAGGGTTTTGAAGCGGGTGAAGAGAGCGGGTTTGGAGAGCGCCATGGATAGGGTTTTGGAGAAAGTGTGGAGATGGTGGAGAACTGGAGATGGAGATTCGACAGCGATGGAGAGGCGTGAAGGTTCGAGCCTCGAGGGTTCAGGGTTTTGTGTGCCAAATGGGAAGATTATGTGATTAAAATTACCAAAATGGTCACCGAACTGTATGACGTAACCAAATGAGTCATCAAACTTTTGTTTTATGGCAAGATAGACCCTTGACTCCGTTAGTTATTATTTAGGCAAAATACATATGTATTAGCCATAACTTTCGCATATTTGTCAATAATAGCCACATTTTGAGAAATACATAAAATAGTCACTTCTGTTCTATTTTTTAACGGTGTCATCTATCATACTGACTAGACTAACGAAAAAGTTGACATGTCAACTTTTTAGTCAATAATAATGTGAGGTGGAATTAACTGGAAAAAAATATATAAAATAATTAAATATTTTTATCCTCTGCTCCCCTCTCGATTCTTTCCCCTTATGTTCCCCCAACTGCCGCTCATCCTCATCGCGATCTCCCTCTCTCCATCGAAAATCTCCTTTGCACCCACCCCTCCACCGATGCATTTTTCCTCTCTAGGGTTCCACCGACACTCTTGTCCACCAACTTCTAACGTCATTAGAGTTTGCATCGGAAATGCTTATATTTGTCATACAAACATCCAAACACCGGGTATTTTGTGTATTTCACCAAAAATGGCTATCATTGTCACAAACTCAAAAGTTATGGCCATATAGATGCACCCATCTCGTCCACCAACTAAATATGGAACCTTCATTTTAACTGGATCCATAAAATCCAGATCTAATGGTGGAAAATTAATGACATTTTTATTTTGCTTAGTTTTTTTTATTGCCCTGAATGAACGAGTTCATTATGATTTATTGGATCTACAAATTTTCGGGTGAACAAAATACAGGTCCAAAAAATACCACACAATACCTCCCTGGTATGGGGTGGTAACTTGGGGTACACAATGTTGAAAATCATAAATGACAGTTAGTATACTCATACTATCATGTATTCAACCATCCTATAGTCTTAGTATGTGCATACCACCATGGTACGCTTTTCAAAACATATGGTATGCTCTTATTTCAATACCAGTCAATACCATATGGTACAGATTGGTAAAAACTGACTCAATTTTTTCGTTCCAAAAATATATGAAAGTGGATATCATTTTGAGAGCACAAATTAATCCGATCTAAATGTGTAAAAAAAAGGGTTAATATTTTCATATGGCCTGAACTTTGACCAAAATAAACATCCTGACCAATCTTTTTGATCTATAACATCCTGGCCCGAACTATACACCAAGATAAACAATTTGGCCAGATCCGACTTTTGACCGTTAACTTGGACGGTCAAACGCATTGACCGTTAGTCAACGCACCATGTCACTGCCAAGTCAACATAAAATATTTAAAATAATTCACAATTTCCACACATTCCCTAAATTTAAATTATTATAAATTAGAAAAATCATCTAATACCTTAGTTAAACCAAAAATAAAAAACGAAAAAAAAATAAATATTTGTCAGATCTTCTGACTTGGCAGTGACGAGGCAGTGACGTGGCGAGTTGGCCGTTAGTCAACGCGTTTGACCGTCCAAGTTAACGGTCAAACATCGGGTTTGGCCAAATTGTTTATTTTGGTGTATAGTTCAGGCCAGGATGTTATAGATCGAAAAGATTGGCCAAGATGTTTATTTTGGTCAAAGTTCAGGCCATACGAAAATATTAACCCTAAAAAAAATTAAATGCTGACTTAAAACGAGTGATAAATTGTCCGTTAAAGATTAAGGGGAAAAAGTAAATGCTTTTCAGGAGAGAGAAAATGCCCTAATGTGGCGAATGATGATTGGGTTATGCATGGTTACTGACTAGTATGTTATCTGGATGGCTAAACGTTGCCCTAATTTTACAATTATCGCCCTAACTTAAATTGCCAAATTATTAAATTATCCTTCATTAATCAATCCTAATTAATGAAAAGAATAAACCCTCAAACCCTAATCCTCCTTCAACGTCCTACTCTCTGCACTTCGTCGCCATACATTCTCCCTCGATGTTGAATCGTTCCTGCTGCACAGAGCCACAACCTCGAGTCCCAGACAGAAGCGAACGAACGTCAACCAAACGAGACGGCGGAGGGTGTCAACTGAATTCTTGAGCGTACAATACGGCGGCGGTTTCCAAAACAGAAGTGGAAGTAGAGCAGCCAAGGAAGTCTCTGTGGCCGTGAGCTCGATGTCGTTGGTCGACTGGTAGTATTCTAGGGCGTTGGATGAACAAAGCAAAAGGGACAGAGGGGATGAGGGCGGTAAAAAAACAAAGGTTAATCTAACATTGGAATCAAGGAAGTAGGGACTAGGGATAAGTTTCCGTTGTTGTCGTCGGGTAGAAGCTGGGCAAAGCATTTCTTAAACCCTGTAAATTGCACTTCTTCTTCTGTATCTGCATGTCCTCATAGTCCAAGAATAAAAGAAGCAGGTGTTTGGATTCTTATGTTGAGAAATTGGTTTTGTTAAATCAATGGCAATAAACATAAGATGAGAAAGCTTGCAACCCTAGCAGATGATTAGGGCAGAAAACGGAAAATGACAGGAAGGCATAGTTGGGGGAATTTGCCAGAATGGCTGCATTTCATTTTTTGAAGAAATATATACAGGGTCTCCATCCTATTTACCACTACACTACAAAGCAGAAAGGTAAAGTAACTCTAGTGTAGAATAACGGTAACTACCTAGCCACTAACATCTCGCCACTTGGCGCAACATTACTTATTCACTGGACTACTAACGACGCCGTTCTATCTTGCAGGGTCGACTACTTAGATGATACGGCGTCGTTGGAACTGCAGCTCTTCTTCTTCTTCGACCAAGGTGAAAGGAAGCCCAGGTCGACTCTGTCTCTGAAGCTCAACAACAATGGCTGCATTCTGCATCCTTCCTTCACATAAGAAGTCATGGAGACAATCATTGTTGTTGTTTTGATTTGGAGTTTGTCCGGAGCGGAAAACGAGAGAGGTGAGACTTGAGAGCAGGGTTTGGAATGCGATGCATAGAAGTCGCCCCCTTGGGTAGGCGGAGGATCGTCCCGGAGTTGTCGACAGAGCGAAAACAAAGGAGTTTGATGGCAATATCGAGGCTTAATTAAAAAGAAACGGATAAAAAGGTCTATCTACTTTTTTAAGTCTTGCTGGCTCTCGTGGCTTCTCCTTCCTAAAGATTTTCCGTGTTTCATTCTCTACTCTATGGCTTCTCCTTCTGAAAATAAGGTGTTGCAGCCTGAACCACGAGTGGTTATTTCTTTTCTAATATTGTTTTCTCTTGACATTCCAATTACCAAAATAAGGTGTTGCAACCTGAACTTCAGTTAGCATGGGACACTACATTAGGCATGCGCACCATAGACGACACTCCAGTTGCTTATTCAGAACATGAGACGGGGCGATCAATAACATTCAATCATTAGCTGAAGGTTTTAGGACTTGACTTATCGAGGTTAGGATGTGTAGGCCTCCTGTATCCTTAGAGAATGCAATAAATGTGTGATTTAACATGTTAGTTTATGTTGCAGTTTTTGTTGGAGTTCCGTTGTATTTCTCATGTTCTTCTCCTATTACGCCTTCTGACATTTTAAATTATTTGGAAACTCAAAATTCTTAGGGTTAATAGCATTTTGTACTCCTATACTATTGTAAATTGACAAATGTACTCTCTTACTATATTTTTGCACAAACATATCCTTCTAATTTTAAAACGTAATGAATGTACCCTTTCGTCTAATTATCAGTTAAGTTACCATTAAAAAAGACCCAATCACCCCTCCTTTACTCATAATTTTAGTTTTAATTATTTTATTTATTTCTTTCTTTCTTAAGAGAATAAACCGTTCGTATCCCTGGCGGTTCGTCCCTCGGCGAAGGGGACGTAGAGAGGAGCGGCGGCGGGAAACTGCTGCGGTGAGCGGCCGCTGTTCGGGGAATTCTTCATCTCCCCTCGGGGAAGAGGAAGAAGAGAGCTTGTGTTGCTGTTGTTGTGCTTGCAAGTTGCAACGGTGGTTTGTTTTTTTAGGTGTTTTGTTCTTTTAATTATTCAATTGATTTGGAACATAAATTATTAAAACTAAAATTATGAATAAAGTAGGCAATTGAGTCATTTTCCAGTTCATTTAACGGTCACTTAACTGATGATTAGACGGAAAGGTAAACTCGTTACGTTTTAATATTCGAAGGGTATGTTTGCACAAAAATTTAATAGAGGGATACGTTTATTAATTTACAATAATAGAGGGGTACAAAATGTTATTAACCCAATTTTTTATTAGTTATCCATGAAAATTAAGACGTGAATTGCATTCCGTTAACTCAAAAAGAAAAAGAAATATAACATGTTGTCACCTCACCATTAGAGATAACATGCTATCTTACCCAAAAAAATACATGCTATCCTTTCTCATTTTTTCTTTTAATTAAGTTTATCGCCATTAACCAGATTCAAATAAAGCTCCGAAAAATACAACCCACCCACACTACCTAGTATCTTGAACACCCATATGGCCATTTGTGAAAAGCATAGTATAAGATTTTTCCTAAAAGTAGGAACACAATTAGAGAGTCCTTGAATATATATTATTTGGAAATGTGATGAGAAGGACAAACATTTTTTATAATGTGAAGGACAAATAGCTGAAGTCTGAAAATTATATTAACTTTTGAAGGGCACCAATGATCATATATGAGGTAGTCTTGACTCTTGAGGATACCAATTACCAGTGATCGGAAGCAGGATTTGAAATTATCACTGTCCTCTTTTCATATAAATATATAAATATTAATTAATAATTATTTAATAAATAAAATTAAAAATAACTATATCCAAATAATTCATTCACATATAAAAAATAATCGACTAATAAAATCATTGTTTTCATAAACAACCACGACGGAATTTCATATTGTGAAAGAAACATAAAAACATTTGTTGTCTACACTGTTAAGTAAATCTCTTTTAATGTCTCACACTAAACAATCATTAGCAAACTGGTCGCCAATTCGACTT